ATAAGGTGTGGTGACCCCATGTCTTACTAAGAGGTACATGTGCACAGATTTTAATACCTACACCTGTAAGTGGATGCAAGATGAAAAATATAAAATTACGTAATTTAATAATGAAATAGATTTCAATAGTTGCATTTAGATTTCATGCTCACATCAGTTCAAGATGTGGGGCATGGCCCAAAGGCACCAAAATACCCTCCCTTAGACATCATAATATTCTAACAATTGATCATTTGTTGCTCATTTGTTGCCTGTGTATTGTCAGATTTGCTCATTTGTTGCCCATGTTTTGTCACAATTGGTCATTGGTGCCCATGTATCTATGTGCCCATTCTATCAATATGGATATGATCTTCTATTATTTCCTTTGGTTTCCTCCTGGTGCTTCAGAACACACAACTGAAACACTTTAACCAGTTGACATCCGCGGTGTTAAACCCCCTTCCCATCCAGGCCATTTTTCAGTATTCAGCGCTGCGGTACTTTAACTGACATTTATTCCGTCATGCGGCGCTGTACTGAAATGAATTTTATACCCTTTTTTGGGGACAGATAGAGCTTTCTTTTGGTGGTATTTATTCACCACTGGGCGTTTTATTTTTTTACTATATTAAGGAAAAATTACCAAAATTTAAAAAAAAAAAAGTTTCCCCTATATTAAATGATAAAACATTTATTATTACCCAATTTTTTGGTAAAATATAAAAGATGGGGTCACGTCGGGTAAAAAGACACTAAACATGTCAAGCCTTAAAATTGCGTGCGCGCGCGAAACCTCAAAAAACGATAATACCCAAAATTGGCCATAGGCGACGCTTTAAAAGCTGTTACCGCTCATCAGTTTAGTGTTATCAGTGATTGATGGCCCTAAAATGATTGCTCTCACTGCGACGTTCGCGGCGATATGTAACATGTGTAGCGCAATTGTAATTTTTGCGCGCTGGGGCACCGGACGCGTATTTACGTTTATAGGCGCGTAAACGTGGGGGTGGGGGAGTTAAACATTTT